AGAGAGAGAGAGAGAGGCAGAGGGAGAAGCAGGCTCCCAAGGAGCAGAGAGCCCGATGCGGGACTCGATCCCAGGACCCTGGGATCATGACCTGAGCCGGAGGCAGACGCTTAACCATCTGAGCCACCCAGGCGCCCACGCTGCTACCTTTCTTAATGAAGGAAGAAATTTTAGCAAAAAAGTAAAAAGTGTGATGCTGAACAAGGAGACTAATCAACAAGCAAAAAAAAGTGTAATACTATGAATGAAAGACTTGAAGACCAGTGATTAGGTATAATCCACCAAGTAAAATCAGTTATTTGTGCAGTATCACATTTTACACACGTTTTAAATGTATTCAAATATTTTGTATTCTGGGGCACCTCGGTGGCTCAAGTCAGTTAAGCGTCTGACTCTTGATTTTGGCTCAGGTCATGATCTCAGGGTCGTGAGATAGAGCTCCGTGTTGGGCTCCATGCTGGGCATGGAGCCTGCTGAAGATTCTCTCTCCCTTTCCCTCTCCTTCGGCCTCTCCCTCCTCCCACCCCGCTCCCACACTCTCTCTCTAAAAAAATATTTTGTATTCCACAATAAAGTCTTTTTGTTTTGTTATTTTTCATGTTTCATTATGCCCTTTTTTTTTTTAAAGCTTTTATTTATTTGACGGAGACACAGCGAGAGAGGGAACACAAGCAGGGGAGTGGGAGAGGGAGAAGCAGGCTCCCCGCGGAGCAAGGAGCCCAATAATGCAGGGCTTGATCCCAGGACCCTGGGACCATGACCTGAGCTGAAGGCAGACGCTTAACCATCTGAGCCACCCAGGCGCCCCTCATTATGTCCTTTTTAATGAATCTCCCACTTTTATTTTTTGTGGTTTTTGTCTTTCATGGCGAAATTGCCTTATGGCCAATTAGTTAGGCAGTGAAAATGTTTGTGGCAAAAACACTCGTGGCAGAAATGTCTGTGGCCGAGCTGTGTACAGTGAAACTTTCTAGAACCTTTTCTAGAACCTATCCTGGACAAAAACTCAACACTGCATCTCACGTAAAAGACGAAAACAACTTTAAAGCCATCCCTTCCATTGGGTGCTACGCTAATGTCATTGGGCCGCTCAGTTAAGCAGTTTTCCATCCGCACCAGGCATATGGGGCTAATATTTGGAATTCCTCTGACAGTTCAGGATTGGGACTGAGAGAGTGGGTCACCCTAGCTCAAACCTGGGACACTCTGGACGTCAGCTTTAGCCAAGGCTCTTCCTTCTGATTCTGTAACACAGGAGAAATACTCTTCTTCCACAAGTGCTGGCACTTGAAAGAACATCTCCAAGGAAGAGACCAGTAACACCGAGGACTGTGCATGGTGCAGGGAAGTGAGTTTGGACCCCAGTTCTAAGACAGACCCGTGTCAGGACCTGGGACAAATGACTGTTTCTTCATGTGGAAATAGTGATAGCTGCAAGCCCAAGGTAGTGGTGAGGTTTCACATACCTGTACACAGTAAGCACCCAATACATAAACATTATACAACTGGGAAAAAGCACGATATTCATTTTTGGAAAGTATTTATTAAAAAACTAAAGTGAATGTGGCAAAAAACAACAATCCAACACATACCTTTAAATAGCAAGCATATGACACCGGTTATAAAGCTTTTCCAACTCTACTGATCTAGTCTTTCCCACCATCTACAGTCAAGGATGGCCTCTGAGGGAAGCCACATGTAAACAGGTCATCTGTACTAGTGATGAGCAAAAACTATGTGGTAACTATCAGTGGCCATATGATTTGCTTTCCTAGGCAATTCACCCCAAACACAAGAGAGTGACCAAATCTCAGGAGTGTGTTCATGGGGATCTGCAGTTCTGGTTTTAATTTGGGAATGGTAGGTGGTGGGGGCATGAAATAGTAGAAAGACAAACAGTATCAGTAGAGGGCAATCGTAAAGCACCTTTAAAATCTGGACCCTTTCCACAATTTAATCCAGCAATTCTCAAACTTTATTGTCGAACAGAATCACCTGACGAGATTGTTAAATTCAGAGGCTCCCCAGATCTGGATGTTTCAGATGAGTACTACAGGTGATTCTGTCTATTGGCTAGCCATCCAGTTTGAGAACACTGTTTAAAATGCATTAAAACAATTCCTACTCCCCTAAAAAGGTAAAAGTTAAGGAATCTATCGACAGTCACTGTGCTTTTGTCCACTTGGAGGAACCAAGAGAGGGAGTCAGGCAGGAAGGAGCCTCCAATTCCTAACGTACTGGTCTACAGGAGCCCTGAGCAACCTGTCAAGTGCTGTTCAGGAAGTAAATAAAATTTAATAACAAAGTTGATTTTAGATCACAGAACAGACTCCAAATGACTAGCAGGCCAACCGCATTCATCCCTGTTTAATGAACTCTGTTGGGCCAATGCCAGATGGGAAGCTGCTTGTTCAAACAGAACATGGGGTTAACTGTGGGTCTTGATCCGTGAAGACACAGCGAATAGAACATCTGTAAAAACCTTTATTCCCCATAGAGCCCTGGGCCCAAATAACTGCGGCGCCTCATGGACAACACGTAGAAATGGTCACATTGATTCCAAGGTTGCCATTATCTGCAAACAGATGCGCTATGGCTGTGTCAAACACAAGGCAGTCGCTGTTCATGATGGCCGCCGCCACGCCGTCGTGGATGGACCGGGGCGTGGCCTCCCAGGTCAGTCTCCGCCGGTTCCCGTTCAGCTCCAGTCTGTAGGCAAAGTTCTCGGCTTGCTTGCGGGTGCCGATGAGCAGCACGATGGCGAAGAACTGCTGGTGGCCCTCGTACTTCTCTTGCTTCTCCAGCACCAGCATGAAATGGTGGCCGAAGCACGACTGCATCATCACCCAGTCGACGGCCCCCGGCAGGTTAATGTCCGTGGCTAGGAAGACGATGTCTTCTCCCTGCAGGGTGGTGATGCTTTTGTGGGCGTGCATGAGATGGGACATCACGGCTTCCAAGGACCCCTGCCACTTGCAGGAGGCCCCGGGGCAAGGGCAGGAGTAGGGGCGGTATTCACAGATGTCTTCGTGCTCTGGCTTCTCCGTGTGGTGCAGGGTCAGGGAGCAGCCCGTGGTGGCGTACTGCAAGAGCGGAAAGAAACGCCGTGAGCCACCGGGCCTGCGCACAACTCCGCCGAGAGGGCTCACCCACGTGCGCTGCCCGGCCTTGAACTCTAGCCTCGTTCCAACTACGCTCGCTCCAGGGGAGCTAAAGAGTTACGATTAACAAGCCTCCGTTCGTACGGGTCATCGGTACCGCCGGCCAGAAAATCGGGGGAATTTCCTCCCCCAGGAACGGACGGCATGCCGTTCCAACATCGCCGAAAACGTACCAGTGAAGCGCTCTCAAACGGGATTGCTGAGCCAGCCCTAGAAAACCTGGCCTGCCCCATGTTTTCTGTGAATTTAAAGAATTTTGTAAAATTTAAAATGGCTTAGGCATAGGGTTGGGCAAGGGATATGTGGCCTCCAGCCTGGTTTTCCCCTAAAGACAATTAGGAAAGCGGTAGAGCCCCTCTTGGTTGTCCCCTGCGCCTTCTTCCTAGCTCAAATCAGTGACTGGCAGGAAGGCTGTGGGACGGTCCCTGCTCTTGCCGGCCGGACTGACCAGCCAGGGCAGGAGAGGGCTGGACCCCCCTCACATCGCTAGAAATATTACCTCATTTTCTCCACCTTTTAACCCCCCAACCCCAAGGGGCTTTGGACATACTTTTTGGGTACTAACTCAGGACCCTGTTGGCTAGTTTGGTTCCAACCAGTGGAGGTTAAAAATGAGAAGGGCCCAGACCGCTTCCTCAAGTCCCAGCGCCCATCTTCATGACCAGATAGGTCAGGCCCTCATGCCAGGCCCCGGAGGCAGGGGAACTAAAGTGGTCCCAGGGTAGGCTCCCAGGCGAGGATTGGGATATGGCCAGTCCCCAGTGCTGCCATAATAGGGTAGGGACAAAACCTTTTTCTCCCCTGCACTTGGGATGACATTTCTGATGAAGAAATCACACCTATCTTGGGAAAAGACCACACCAAAAGGAATTAGACTCCTGCTCCCAACCTTCACAAGAATGACAGTGTTAATTCCTAGATACCAGATGGGGAATCAGCCCACAAGTAGACACTTGCCCAGAGAACTGTGCTGTTGTCTTGTAAAGAATAAGGAGAGCTGAATCACCTTTTTGGGTGAAACTAGGGAGTCGGAGCACTGGCAGGTAAACTGTCTGGGTTACCTCACTTGGATTCTCCCACCCCTTCCCGAGACAGGAAGACAGCAAATGAGGGCAGGGCTGGGTCCTATGCCTACGATGCGGTGTCCATCTGCTCACAAAACAAAGCCTCTATATCCTGCGGAAGGAATAAACCCCTTATAAACTTTAAGTCAGTCGAATTCTAACCTTTGTAGATGAATTTATCACTCGCGACAAGCAGGCACCGAGCACCTTCTCCATACAGGACCCTAAGCTACAGTCACTGAGGGGGCCAACTCCACTCTTAGGGAGATGAATCTCCCCTAGCAAGGAAGGAGGGGGTGGCTTCAAGAAAGAAATGCAGCTGGCTCCTCCCCTATACCTAAAGTGGATTATAACAACCTTCAGTGGAAACTGGTAGAAGTATTTCCCTGCTATTTACTTTGCCCATAGGGAGCGCTTATTCGCCTTTCTGAACCATGGACTAATTTTAAAAGCACGGGGTATAAAAAACTTTATCATCAGAAGGAGAAACAAACTTTAATTTATCCATATATATTTCTACTTGGTGTTTCTAACAGTAAAGCCTTCAAACACCCAGATCCCTATTAACTCTGTTTTAAATCTAGAGTGTGGTTAGGAATACAGAACCTTCTGATGTTCTTCTGTGAGTGAGGGGTGAGGCATTTATGCCCACTTTAAATGCACACATTACACACAAGAAAAATAGCAAGAATTAGCCCAAAGCCTGGAACATTCTCTGGCCGAAACAAGCCCCTAATCTCTGGATCTGAAGAAGTTTCAGAATGGGCTGTTTACCACAGCTGCCCAGGAACAACTCCAGGAACGCGATGAACTTTGGCAAAGAGCGTCCAGAAAAGTACCACCTGCACCTCTTCCCTGACCCAAAGCCCCAAACGACTCCACGTTCACGGACTCAGATGTACAACAAATATTTATCGTCCAGCGATTATTTTAGAACTTTTTCTCGTGTAGCTCAGGTAGAATATTTATTTATATTCGGGATTATGTGGTTTGCCCTACAAGCCAGACACTCTTCCTTCGACCCAAATATAGAGAACAGGGAACCTCCCCCAAGCGACACAAATAGAAAAGGCATTACTGAGCATTTGTGTGGACAATGACCTTACAAAAAAAAGTCTTGCTACAGCCTCTATTAACTTAAATAAATAAATAAATAAATAAATATATTTTAAAGACTATTTATTTGACAGAGACACAGCGGGAGAGGGAACACAAGCAGGGGGAATGGGAGAGGGAGAAGCAGGCCTCCCGTGGAGCAGGGAGCCCGACGTGGGGCTCAATCCCAGGACCCTGGGATCATGACCCGAGCCGAAGGCAGATGCTTAACAACTGAGCCACCCAGGCACCCCTTAAATAAATATATTTTTAAAGTATGAGGTGCTTACTCTGCTTTTTCTAAACAAGCTGAACTTTTTTTTTTTTTTTAAAGATTTTATTTATTTATTTGACAGAGAGAGACACAGCGAGAGAGGGAACACAAGCAGGGGGAGTGGGAGAGAGAGAGAGAAGCAGGCCTCCCGCGGAGCAGAGAGCCCGATGCGGGGCTCGATCCCAGGACCCTGGGATCATGACCTGAGCCGAAGGCAGATGCTTAACGACTGAGCCACCCAGGTGCCCCTAAACAAGCTGAACTTTAAAGCCAATCTATTCCTTCTCTTTTCCATCATGGGTGAGGGCATGTCTTCATGACCACTGGTGCTACTTTTATGATGACTATGTAAGAGGTGATCTCTAAAAAGAAAAATCTACACTTTAAATAGGCGTGCACTGATGCACACACACAGACACACGCACTCTTACGCCACACTTCAGCCTTGTTACCGTCTCGGCATTGTTCTGGAATAGCGGCTTTCATCCAGGGATCGGAGGGAGGGTTCGGGGTCTATGGATTCCCTGACATTGCAGAACTATCTAGGTGCCTCTGAGCAGCACACCCAAATTACCCTGGCCCCTAGCTTGCGTTTTCCCGACAGGCGCCAAGGGTTCCTAAGAACTGCCAACCTCTGTCCTAGAGCACCCAGAGGGAATCCACTGCAGACCCCTGTGGTGGTTCCTGTCGAGAGGGGCCACACCAAGCAACAAACAACTCACAAATATCAAAAGTACAGAGAGCTACGCGAAGGATGACCAGAGGGGTGACAGGTGATTTCAAAGTGGGGATGGGATGAGGAGGAGAGACGGAAAGCTTCACTGTGGGCAAAGTAGACGATGGATGGAGCAGTTCCATCTGGTTCTAGAATGGGGTGAGCGGAGCAAACAGTGGGGGATACAACCTAAATGAGAACGCAGGTCCAGATTCCTTCGGGGACTTGACTGACAATTTAGTTTATTTTCCGGGATTCTCTACGGTAGCACTACAGGTTTTCCCCGATATCTGAAAGTACAGTGTTCCCATGAAACCCTTCGGAAGACAAATGGCAGAAGGCAAAGAAGCAATTACCATTAACTTATATGGAAAAATTTTCAAGCATTCCTAGTTCCAAAAAATAACCTCTCTTGGGCTTTTCTGATACCTTAGGACACATCTTGCTAACGGATGCACAAAATCAATTGAGATAAAGCACAGATGCTCACAGATGCAGTTCAAAGCTATGGAGTCTTGATGCTGAGATGCTGAGTGTAGGTCCCAGGAAAGGAGCTTGGGGAGGCCACTCCTGCTGCTCAGGATGCGCACTGTAAAAGAAATGCTGAATGCTATTTTCCCTTTCTGCTTTTTTTTTTTTTTTTTTTTGGTAATACTGAAAATCCTCTTCGGATTTCTTTTGGTTAGCACAAACAGGTCTTTTATAAAAGCAAAGTAACATCAAGTGAACATTCAAAAAGTGGTGGAATAGCTGTACTGATGTTTTAGACCAGATAATCCTTTGTGGTGGGGGCTGTGCGGTGTATTGTAGGCTGGTTAGCAGCATCCTTGGCCTCTACCCACTGGATGCCAGTAGCAATCTTCCCCTCCCCCACTGTGACAACCAGAAATGTCACAGGCATGGCCAAATGTCTGGGGAAGGGCAAAACGGCCTGGGGTTGATTTTGACGGATGACAAAACCTGGCTGGGCAGCCACAATGACAGCTGTGAGGAGGGGCCCACACCAGTAAGCAGGTCAGGCTGGTCACTGCCCTGCCCAACAGGCGCTACCGAGGACACCAGCTGCCAGCTGAGACACACAACTAGAACTCGGTGGTTTGCAAACCATGGAGGTAGGCTAGGCTGCTAGTTCTACCCGTTTTACAGCCTGACTGACTCATCCGGGCTACTCGGCCATTTGAGGCCACATTGCAGGCAGAGCCCTGCACTCCCCTGCTCTTCATCGAGTGCTCTTTCATGGTACACAATCGCTTAGGAGTCAAAGAACATTTTGAAGTAAAAGAAAGAATTCACATCTGCCTGGACCTCCAGTCCCCAACCCTCCACACACAAGACCCAGGGTCCACGGATGGACTGCTTCTAGAAGCAGGTCCTAATACTGACTTCTTCCCTGGATTGCAGGGAGAAAGAAAGCCCTGAAAGCGCCTCTCCCTAAGGAATGAGGAGCAGCGCCTTGCCAGTAAGTACCCAGTAATTAGGCCCTCCCAACTTCGCTGGTACCTGGCAAGAAGGTTCTGAGGTTTCACTTTGCACACTCTGGTTAGGGCTTTGCCCCACCAAACAGGGAGGGTTCAGAGGATGCCTGCTTCCCTTGAGATGCCTGGCTCTTCCTGCACACACCTGGGCTGCCTGTGTGCCCCCGGCACACGTCCACAGCTATAAATGAGCTTTCTCCACTGGGGAACAGCTGCACATGTCCCCTGGGGGTGGGGTGAGGAGGGAATTCACTTTAAGTCAACCTCTTTCGGGGGAGGGGGACAGAGACACAACCACG